CTGTGGGATGCTGAGCCTGCTGCAGCACAAGGATGCTCCCATGGGATGTGGGAAGGGGCCATGCTGAGGTTGTCTTTTCCAAAAGATAAACATGCCCCAAAAGCCCTTGTGAGGGGAATTGAAGTAATTTTAATCAAACAAGGCTGAGAATACACACAATTCTCCAGCTACAGAAAGCAAAGTCATGTCACTCAGAGTAGACTACTAAGAGAAAAAGGAAAAAACAGTGATGTGAACACAGAGCTTCTGTTTGAGTTTCTTTCTTTGGTTTTTCAATTTCCAGCTTCTTTTCAACCAAAAATTACCCCACTTTAGAAAAATTCAAATTGTACATATAGCGCATCACTTTTTTGGTAATATCACTTGTATGTACAATGAAAAAAATCTCCCTGGGGCATTTCCCCTTCTCTGGAGCCAGCAGAACTTTATTAGCTCCTGCCAAAGCACCTGGCAGAGAAATCAAACTGACCCACGGTGGGGGAACGCACAAGTCTACTTCTTGTAGGACATCAGCAGAAAGCATCTGTAAAGCTGGGAGCTGCCACTTCTCCTATTGCATAACTCTGGGGGTCTTTTTCTCATCCACATATCGTATAAGGGGCAGTTTCTGGGACTGTCGGTGATGGACGAGCTTGTAAAAGTACCAAAACCTGACCCACGTGCAGGGTATGGTCCTCGTTGTGGTCACTCCATCATAGTGGGAGCTGTTGCTTCTCCCAACACGTTATTGGAGGCAATGGGGTATTTCTGGTTTTGGCTGCACAGTAGACATGCAGGTAGGAAACATCAATGGGAGGGAAATGAGAGGAATTTGCTTTAAACATCTCAGATGTTTAAGGAAAGAACCTGGAGGTTTTTACCTATGCCTTCCTTTAAAGAAAAACGTTATTTGTATCTGGTGGTGTATCCTGAGGAAATCACAGAGTACTACAATTTCAAAGATGCTTAAATCTCCCCAGGGCAGGAAATACTTATGCCTCTTCTTTATAGTGGGGAAACTGAGGCACGGAAATGTGAAGGAACTCATGCCAGACCCTATAAGACCCCAGTAGCAAAATCGCCGTGATGCAGAGAGCAGACTCAGCCCATAACCCCTCTGGCATCCTCCCCCTGCCCGGGCATTCCCAGGCCTCATATGGGGCAGGGAAACTGTGGCTCCGAGATGGTCAGGACAAAGCCTTGCATGGACCTCTCTGCTCAGCTGCTTGCAGCGACCACATGAATCGGGGCATTGGGGGTGGCTCAGGGACTTGGCAGCTGCACGGGAGATGATCTGAGGTCCCCAGCATGGGGAGGGAGGCTGCTGCCCCTCCAAGGCACTTAACCCCAGCACAGGAATGATTTCGCCCCATCCTCTGTGTAAGAGCAAGGAACAGCTTTGGCACTGAGTCCACCTGCACGGGTAAAAGCAGGGCAGGGAGGAGAGGAGCAAAGCCATGGCATGGCCCCACCGTAGCTGCTTCTGGGGAGTTCAGCCACCGCTTCACTGTAGTGCTCCCTCATCTTTCCACCCCCTGAGCAGCGGCACGGAGTCAGCCTGAGGATCAGGGGCTTTGCAAAGACCTGTAGATCCATCTGGCCTGAGATGGACCACGGGATGAACTAAAGCTCACGTCTCCCTGAGATGGACCACAGGATTAACTAAAGCTCATGCCTCCCTTCAGACCAAGCCCCTCCCCTGTGGCTGTTCCAAGGCCCTGGGATGCATCCTTGTCCCCTGCATGGTTCCCTCCCCTCTCCCACCCCCTTGCTCTGCCTCACATCTGTGGTGTTGGGATGAGAAAGGACCCAGTCAGAGCAAGCAGCAGTTACAGGACATCCTGGGGACGGGCTCAAATAACCCCAGTAGTACAAAACCACAACCTCATAAAGTGATGTCTGCAGTCGGTCCAGGGCTCTCCATCCATCCCCTGCCAACCCAGAGGGCTTTAGCCACCCGAGAAGATTTTGTCCCCACAGCAGCACCCCAGCATGCACCCACTGGAAGATTGACCCAGCTTCCCAAGGGATTAGCCCCATAAGCTGTCCCAGCAATGTCCTGGTGTCCTGTCACCTCAAAGCAGTGACAAACTCGAGAGAGGCAGTGATGGGACATGGGGCATCATGCCCAGGATGGAGGCAGGCAGGGAGGTTGCTGCAACCTCTCGAGGCTCCTCCGGCTCCTTCTGTCGCCCCAGCAGGTCACGCCGCTGCCAGGGAGATGACAAAGCAGCATCTCAGCTGTCCTATCCTACAGATCTCCACCAGCAAGTGGGACAGAAACTTCTGTAGGGTTTCCCATAGCTGCAGCAAGTTTGTGTGCCCTCTGCAAGACTGGTGGGTGCAGGCAGGACCCGTCTCCTGTGCTGTGCCATGTCAGGGGTCCCACACAGTGGGGACACCGGCTCCCCCATCCCGTACAGCAGCTCACTCCCGGCTCAGACAGCCGTGGACTGCTTGATGCTGTGGAAGCTGACACGGGTTGGGGAGGTGGGGATGGACATGGCCCGAGCCACGCGGGCACGGATGGAGTGCTTGTCCTGCCATCGGTGCCACCGCTTCCGTACAGCTGATCGGACCTGGGGGTGCGAGACAGAGGAGGGGACAGTTAGTCACCGTGCAGCTGTCTGAGATTGTTCAGAGGCACCAGCCATCTTCATCCTCATTCTTTCAAACAAAAATGCTGCTGAAACCCTGCTCAGCTCCCCAGGGGCAGGGAAGCCCCTGTCACCTCCCAGGGCACCCAGTCTTGTATGATAAGATGTTGGTGAAACACAGCCCTTGCAGCTGTGAAGAGAGATGAATCCAACCGATGGTGCCTCTGAATGCAAAATGGAAACAAGAGAGAGAAATAAATCCGAGCAGAGGCTCTGCAGGAGAGCCAGCATCTTACACACTGCATTGGCTATTGCAAGGGGCTGGAAGAGGTGCGACTGACAGTTGGGGAGGCTTTATAGCTTGTCTGGTTCATGCTAGTGGCATTGCTTCAACATTAATTCTGCCCTACAACAGCCCAAGTGCTTTGTGTGGCAGGTAAATAGTGAAGAAATGCCTTTTCATTGGCCGCAGTGTGGGATGGCCTGGGAGATGGGCACTGGAGGCAGGCGGCTGAGACGGTGCGGCTGGGTGAACACTGAAATCCCCAGACCAGCCCAGCTGGGACCAAGAGATGAAGGACCACGAACTGCATGGTGTGATACGCTTCTGGGTCACCAGTTAGCTCTGGTCCAGCCCCTTTTTCTCCTGCATCAGTTATAGATGATTTGGTAACTTCCCCCCAGCACCCCCATGCCCTGGTGCTCACCTCGCTGTTCAGGAAGCAGTAGAAGACAGAGACGAAGAAGCCCTGGAAGGAAAGAAGCAGCAGAATCACTGCAGAGCTATGGCCAGCAACACCCCCAGGCTCAGGATCTTTGGAGCAACCCTGGGTTTTGGGGATGTCTGGTTTTGGAAGAAGGCAGAAGTGGGGGAAGGCATTGACCAGGACAGGGTCCTCCACATCCCTTCATGGGGGGACTGAGATGGTGCTGAGGACCATACCTGGAAGGACTCCAGGAAGGAGTTGAAGTAGATGAAGACAATCCTGGAGATCTCATCCTCACCCGGGTTGACAAAGAACAGCATGTAGGTGATTCCCAGCAAGGGCAGCAGCACCAGTGTGGCCTTGACTGCTTTCCTGGGGAGAAAACACAGACCTGAGGTGCTGCAGTGCAGCCCTGGGCATGAGGACTCTCCCACTCCCAGCACCAGCAGGGCTGGGACTGCTCTGGGCAAACCAGTGGCTGGGGGAGGACAGAGCAGAGCTGAGCTGTTTTCCAATGCGGTTCCCAAGTGATTGAGCTGGTTTGAGCACTGGGCACCTGCTGTGGTTTCTCCATCCAGAAAAGGGCAATGGATAGTGGAGACCTGACCTTGAGCTGGCACAAAATGATCGCTTGGCTGATCTAAGGCTCGATTAAAAAAAGAATTAAGGAGAGCAAAATAATTCACACCCTTCAAAATGGGTTTATGAAAAACTTATCTCAGCTAATTAATTTGATTTTTTTTCTTGATGAGATTATAAGTGCCATTTGTGAAAAGTAATAGTGCTGATACAAGAGTGTGGGAAGGATCAGGGCTTGGCATCTCATTTGATTGGATTAGGGGACAAGAACAATGCCAAGGTAACACTTTTTTCTTAAAGATGAACAGATTCCAACATTAGCTAAACACAGGAAAAGTCATCCCTGGCAAGTCTGGGCCGGGCAGGGACATGGCCTGGGACTGTGCTGCATCGCTGACCTGGAGGAGAGTCACAGCCCCTGACACAAACTGGCAGGTGGTCCAGAGGAGCTGGGAATAACCGAGGACACAAGCATCTTCAGGCTGGCAAACTACGGGAAGCACATGCACTCGTGTAGCTTCTCAAGGAGAGCAGCCATGGTAGCGGGGGATCCATCAGCTTTTTACCAAAAGCCGTTATCTAAGGTGAGCAGGACCCCTCCAGGGCTGTCCCTTGACTGGTTTAAGTAGAACTGCACCGTTTATAGCCTACTGAACTCTCCAAGTTTTCCTGTCTCACAAGATGTTTCTGGGAAATTAAAATGTTCTTTTGCACAAGGGTTAAACCCCTTTTCTGCCAAAGTCAGGTAAATACTAGAAAACCAAAAGGGTCTCAGAATTGCTGACTGAGGCCATCCATCTTATTTCAATAGCCTTTATCTCTGCTCATCCCAAGTTGAATTGTTCATCCCAGCTTAATACTCTGTGATGAGGAAGCTGGCATTTCCCAGTAAGAGCATCTGAATTTTCCCATTTGCAGCTGAAAAATCCACCCTCTACCCTAAACCTACTTCTCTTGACCTAGAACACAGTGACATTCCCCGACTCCTACCCAGAAAATGATCCAAAGAGAAGCACTGATAAAGGCCAAGGTGTCTTCTCCTGTTCCAGGTACTTTGGAGAGCTGCTCTGACCACGCACCTCCCAAGTTATCTGCAAAATACTCCTCAGCAGAGAAGGGTGAAATTTTCCTGCCTCGGTGCTGCCTTCTCCTTGCAGCTTCGCAAGGAGGTGTTTGGGGTGGCATCAACTCATTACTTCATCCTTGGCCTTTGCTTTGCTGTCAAGCAGCAATTTAATTCTCACCTCCGTGCCAGGATTTGCAGCTCTGAGCCCAGCAAGCTGACTGGGTCCCACCAGAACCAGCTTTTGCAAAGAGCTCCCTTCAAAGGCAGATCCAACCACCCACATTCCCCATTGCAAAGCTCTCACTGGCCAAGATTTTTCAACAATCCCATATACAGTAACCACGTGTCTCCGAAAAGCATTTGAGGTGTTCTTAGATGTCTTCTCCATGCTCCCATCCCCTTAATGCTCAACTGATGGGGCTGTTCCTATCCCCCCTAATCATGCTAATGCAGTTTCTAGGTCTGCTTTCTGCAGGGTCGCTCGTACTCTTACCTGTACTGGATTGTCTCTGACGTGGTTGAAGCTCGGAGCTTCGTCATGAGGATTCGGACGATGTTGAAGAGAAAGATGAAGTTGATCTAGAAGGAACAGGGCACCTGGTTAGCGCCTGCTTCCCCAACATTTCCTCCCATTTCCTCAGCAGAGGCAGTGGGCCGTGCCAGGAGAAATAGGAATGTTTTCTTTTGAACCTCATCTATTGCCTTCCAGTTACTGAAGCAGAACATCTGCATTTATCATCTTTAAAGCACTTTAGCAATAAGATGTAGGAGTTTTTTCAAGGGAGTGGGTCAGCAGGGCACACCAGAAGATTGGCGAAGAAGGGCAAGCATTATAGAAAGGGCTGAAGGTGAAGAGGTTGGAGGGGGAAGAGGAATATAAGGCAGCTGAGGGGATTTTGGGAGAGTGGCTGCCATCACAGCAAGGAGCTGCTTGGCCGCTCTCCCAGCTGTCAAACCACTAATGAGGACTTGGGAAGGCAGCACCGGGAGCTGAGTACAATTGTCACAAATTAGAAGAGGCCTGGCTACCTGATGGGCTGGGAAATGAGAACCAGGCTCAATTATTCCGGGAGGCCAGTTGGTGTTGGTGATTAGTGCTCCCTTGGGTTTCTTCAGCATTGGGCAAGGCGGGAGGAAAAGCTGTGGGACCTCGTGCTGCTTTCACCCTTCAAACACAGGCTGGACCCTGGCACTGCTGCTTGTGACTTGCCATCTCTGCCCCTCTTTGTCCCTTCCCAAAAGGGCAAAATCCCAGCAAATTACAGTCCGTATGCCCCCTGGTTCAAGCATCACTGCCCAGCCAAGGGCCAGGAGCAAAGGGATGTGGATCAGGGCATGGGGTTGAGGTCCCCAGGTTGCTGTGAATGCTTGGCAAAGCACCCACCTGCACCCAGAGAGTGCCAGGGCAGGGATGGAGGGACTTACTGACGCATGTGGGAGTCTGCTGATGGGGACATCCCTATCGGAGTGAGGTCTCCAGCCTCTCTTTCTGGCCCACCCCAAGCCAGCAGGATCCAGGCATGCTGTTTCTCACTGGGGGTTAGGTGCCCACATTTGCTCTACGTGTGGTTTGGGTGCAGGTCGCTGGGCTTGCAGGACGAGTGGCATTGCTGCCGTGGGGCAGCATAGCCAGTGGCGGCAGGGCGAAGCTAAGGGAGGGAGCAAGACCCCGTTCAGGAAGAGCATTATCCCACATGCAGGTGAGAAGGACCCTATATTTAGCAAGCAAGGTCGCTTTGCTCTTACCAGAAGCACCAGGATCATGGGGCCTTGGTAAATGTAGTCGGTATAAACTCCTGCTCGCTTCCCAAACCAGCACCTGCAAGGCAAGGACAAGCGGTGTCAGGGATATCTGGTGTCGGGGACAAGCCTGCAGTGTGAGTGACCTGGATTCACTCCTGTCCTTGCACAACCTCTGCAAGTCCCGGTCCGCAGGGTGAAAGCACTACACTTGAACTGCTGTAGCTGCTATGGAAGAGCCTCCCTGGGAACTTGGCGTATGGAGGTGCATGGGGGCCTGTGGGGGTGTCCATGGGCCCTGCAGGTGAAATAAAGAGCTTTCCCTTCACAGGGATGTGGGAACTGGTTATTGCAGGACGAGCAGGAACAACCTTACACACACACCGGTCCGGGTTGGCTCTGTCCCCAGCAAACTCTGCGGGAGCTCACGCAGGTGTAGCCGTGTCCTGGGAGCACCTTGTTGGTTTTGTTAACTCAGCGCTGTGCCTGCGTGAGTAGCACAGGGCTGCTGAAGTCAGGGGACAAAACTAGCCCTGAAAAACAAGACAAGCTGCCATTCACCTAAATGGGCTCCTCTTAACTCCCCAGTCCATGCGATGAACTCTCAAGTGTCTGTTAAGACCTCCATTAGCAAGTCTCTGTGAAAATGGCTCAGGTGGTGGTAGTTTATATCTCTGCTGGTAGATTAAATCCCAGCTCCATTTAGCAAACACATTGTAGGAGCTTTGGCTTAATCTTGCCTTTTCCCCCTTAAAAATCTCATTTGCCCTTTGAAGGGAAAAATGCAGCGGCAGGCAGCTGCAGGCAGGGCTTGTGCAACAGAGAGCCTAAAGGTGGGATAAAAGAAAGAACAGAAGAATATTATCTTTTATTCCTCCCACCCTTTCCATGTCCCCTGCCTTGTGTCAGCCCCTCCAGACAGGATCCGTGCCTGCTGCAGCCCCTGGCACAACTGATCTCTGGAGAACTGGGATAGAAAGGGGAATAATGGGGAAGGAGAGCAATCAGACTCACTTCTCGTTGTCGTAGTACAGCTTCCCGATGGCCCAGGCGACGATGATGGGAAAGGGGATACCTGCAGATGAACACACAGGTGAGGCTCAGGGGGGCAACACTGCCATAAAACCGTGCTGTAACAGGGATTGTCTCACACAGGGCAAACCACCGGGTGAGATGATATGGCCATGCAAATCCCATCCTCCTGCTCCCAGCAGTCTTTTTGCAGGTACTTGGGTGCAAGAGGACCTGGAGCAGAGGATTGAGGTGGGCATCACCCACCACTAAAACCCTGGGTGCCTGGTGGGTGAAGGGAAATCCTGGTACTTACACCAGCCAATGCAGATGAACATCCACTTGCGGAGCTTGTCTGTGGAGTAGGTGAGCACGATGGCCGTGTGCAGGTAGCAACCCTCACCGAACATCCAGAAAAAGTTGGTGACGTGGAAATAATTGTAGGCAGCAGTGACCAAGCGGCACCAGACCTGCCGAGGGGGTTCAGAGGTGACATGGAGGGTGAAGAGCAGAGCTCTGTGTTACAGCAGTGAAACTGGTGCACAAACACAGACCTCAGCAGAGCAATTGAGCCCACCCTTCTCATAAGCCTGGGTTGTCCACTGACCACCAGGCAGCCCTATTTGGGCCCTCAAGTTGCTTTTGTGGTCTCATATCTACGATCCTTAAGCTCCCCACACACAACAGCTGCTCAGGGCTGGGCTCAGGCTAGCCGCCTGGCAGAGCTGCACCTACCACGTTGCTCTCATGCACCTCTGGGTTCATCGTGAGCTGCACCACAAACCATGTGGCATTGCGTAGGATAAAGGCTGTGATCAGGTTCCAGTGGATGATGTTCCTCAGGCACCGGATGCTCCTGGAGAAGAGGGGACAAGGGGCCATCAGAGCGTGGTGGGTGTCTGGCCATGTGTGGCCTGGGGGACAGGGCTGTTTGTAGAATGTCATTGTTGGGACCTCAAGGGTGAACAGCTGGGGCCATGCTCTGGCGGGCAAGACCAAGGGCAGGAGGTGGAAGACACCAAGGAGGATCCTCTGCCTCCATAACCTGCTGCTTTAAAAGAACAGCAGGAGGAGAATAACCCTGAGATGGGCATGATTCCTCCAGACTGGAGATCGATGGCCATGGGGCTATACAGCAAAAAACAAGGGCTGGGACTATTCTCAGCCCGAGAGCCATGGGGTGACCTCCCTGGGCTCATGCCCCTGGCAGGAGCAGGGCAGCAGATCAGAACACTCACCGCAGGCGCATGAAGAGCACAAAGGCCACAAGGAGGGCCCCCAGCGAGACGCAGTGCCCCAGGTAGTTGATGATGACGGCGATGTGGTAATGCAGCTTACTCTTCTTCTGGTGGGGTGAGATGGGGAGGGGGTCAGCAGCAGCCCCAGGTACCACCACAGACCTACCTCCTCCACCACATCACCTCCAAGAGCTGCACTACAAAATCTGGATCCTTTTTCAGAAAGCAACTGGAACCTGCCTAGTGCAGGACAGTGGAGATGGGACTGGAGGGGACACAGCTGGTTGGATGGGGCTAACACGGACAGGAGAAGCACCAATCTGGCCCTTCAAAGAGCCCAGGCATTTCATATCCTCCCCATGCCAGGGCAGCTCATGGTTGCTGTCTTTACACCCCCCCTGCTCAGTGCTGGGACATCCCCAAGCCCTCATCTGGGGAAATCCTGCTGTAATTCAGCTGAGCTCACTGGAAACATGACATTTGATGTCTCAGTTCATTTCTCATTGCCCTGGGGGCAGCTGAGAGGCTGGGATGAATTTGGGCAGAGGGAGCAGGGGATCTCGGGAAGGTGTGAGTGATAATTAAATTAATTGCTCCTGCTGTTAGGCACTCATCCAACCTGTGAATTAGTAATTAACTGAGTGAGAAAACCATTCCTGGCAAGAGATATCAGCTCTTAAATACCAGAGGTGGTTATCAACTACAAATGAACAGCCTGTATCTCTTTTCTGCTCTGAGGGGTGTCTTGACCTACCCAGGCACTTGAAATTCTTGGTCCCCATTTTTTTTTATCCCTTTCAGCTTCCTAAACATCCCTGTTCCGTTGCCAGGTTTGCACTAAGTGCTTATGTCAGGAGGGAGCTGGAGGAGGGTGACGGGGCTGGAGGTCATGCTGATCTGCCGCCTGGGGCCATGAGACCTCACACTGCAAATCCTCTTGGATTTTTAACAGGGAAGGAAACAGGCATGTCTTTACTTTTGGCAGGGAATGAAAATGCAAATTGAAAAGGGGATCATATATGCTTCATACAAACTTATATCTGGGATGCTGCTGTGTGCCCAGCCCACAGCTCCCTTGGGCCATTCCTGACCTGGATGCTGTTGCCCTTCAGAATTCCATTGTTGTCCCTCACCCTCCTGCCAAGAGCCCGGCTGAGGGGCTACCAGGGTCTTACCTCTTCACTGAGGATCTCCTGGCACTGGGAATAGTTGACTCGTGCTGCCCAGCTCCCGTTAGCGAGGCACTCCCTGTAGCCATTATCTGAAAGAGAGAAGCCCATCGAAGGGTTGCAGTGCATGGAGATGTGCATAAGGTGTGATCTGATGATCGAGCCAGTGGCATCATTAGGTTTGACATCAGCTCAGTTCCTGCCTTGATTACAATGGCAGGACTAAAATCCCCAGGACATTTCAGAATCACTCACGGGCTTTGGGTCTGCACCAGCGCTGCCCCTTGGTGTTGGGGGACCCCAACCCCTCCCACTGCTGAGATGCAGTGGGAGCAGCACGAGTTCCACTCTCCTTTCACCCTCCTCTGCGTCATTTGCTCCAGCGATCGTGTGCTATCCTGCTGCGACACACTGTGAAGTTTTCACTTCTCTCCCTGCATTAGGAGCTTTCTTTGCCTCCCAGCAAGGACGGTGAGTGACAAGGGAATTGGGAAGGAACGGCCACGAGAGCCCCAGAGCAGCCTCCGATTAGTGACAGCACCAGGGTGATGCCAGCGCTGGGGTGATGCTGGGCTTCTGCTATTAACAGGAGAGACCATGAGCCTCATCAGGGTGATGGGATGGGACAGGGATGGGGATGGCTCTTGGGCAGGCACAAGTATGGATTAATGAAATCATGCAAAGGCATGAGAGGCACCACGAAGCAGGAGCCGTATGCGTGCGGCAAAAAGGTGTGGAAAGGAAAAATTGATGTTTTCTGTGGGATGCAATACGTTTCTTTCATCAAAAGCAGTGCTCGAGTGGTCAGGAGCTCAACCATGTGCTAGGAATGGCCCTGGGCACTTTTCAAGTGCTTCGCGTTGTCCCCTGCTCCCAGCATGTCACCATCAGCAGTGACAACGCAGTCAGTCACCCGTGCTGGGAGGGATGAGCCACAAGGTAGCCCAGTCCTTGCTCAGTGGGGGGCTGCAGACCCCTGTGCCACCTCCACAGCAGGGCAGGCTCACTTCCCTTGTCCCCAAGATGGGGACATCAGCCCTCTCCCCCTTTACAAGAGCATATCCAGGAGGACCTGCTTCTAAAGCTGCTGCGGTGAAACCACCCTCCCTGAAATTTGGGATACGAGGGCTTTTTTCTTTTTTGGTTGATGGATCCCACAGAGCCCTCCAGTGAGCTCTGTACTCAAAGATTTGTCCCTCACTCTCCTGCAGACCCTGACGCACGTGGTTCTCTGAATTCCCCCATCCCTCATCCACCACGTCCCCACCAGTGCTGCTCATCTTACTCGTGGTGTTATACCGCACGCCGTAGAAATACTCAGGACAGGGGCGAGCTACCAGCTGTCCCACCGCACTCCGGGGCCAACATGTGCCGATCAGGTCTACCGAGGCGTTGCATTGGGGACCTGTGGGGAAAAAGGGTAGAGGGTCAGTGGAGGTCTGTGGGCCACCTCCAGGCTGTTGAAGGGTCAAGGTTTGCTCGGAGAGCTGGGGCTGCAGTCCTGGCTGAGCTGGTGGGTGGCTGCAAGCTCATCCCCCTGAGGAGCCTCATGGCAGACACCAAATGGGGTCTGTGCCGACTCCCCAAGGCCTGGTTGATCCATCCTGGCCATGACTGTTGCCCTGGTTCTGTCTGAGCACCCGGGTTAAGCTCAGTTCTAGCACAAGTCTAGTTTTCTGACCTGGCTTCCCAGGGGTTCCCTGGCTCTGGTCTTCCAGCCCTGCTCCTTTCTGCAACCATGACTTTGGCATCCAGCCCCACAACAGCCAGCAATAAACCAGATTTTCCCAGTGGTGATTCCAGCCTGGGCCTGGTGGGATGTTCCTCAGAGCCCCTCCAACCATCTCATGCCTCCTGGCTGAAAGATCTCCTTTCTAGCCGTTCCCGCTGGTCTCTTCCAGCCTTTCCCGGGAAGAAAACTCCAAGCCTGCTGCTGCTATTTCAGATTTCAAACAGGACTTATGTGCTTTTCCCAGCTACACAAGTGTGCTAACGTAGGCATTAGGTAGGCCAGATTGCAGGCTTTTTTATGTATAATTTGTGTATATTTAGAACAACGTGTACTGTAGCTAAATATGTCCTAGCTACATCTCCAAGTGAGGTAGGAAGCACAATGACTGTAATATCCGTATAATATGATCCTTGACAAGCAGCAGATGATAGGCTGCAGACCCTGGAAGGGGCAGAGTTCCGTGCAAACCACTCTTGGGTACCAGAGATGTTTGTGCTGCCAGTGCAGAGACAAAACACCCCAATTCGCAGCTCTCTGGGTACGAGAACACAGTGTTGCCTCTCCACCTGGACTTGATAGCTGTTATTTGAATTCTTTTCCCAAAACTTCCTATGGATAAAGCTGGCTAAAGAGTAACCGAACAGAAAAAGCAAAATACTGTGTTATTAATATAATGAAGGTTTTCATGGGGGAATGTTTTCCCTGATTATCTGAAAAATTGGCTTCTTTATTTCTTGGGATGTTTTCAGAGCAAAATTTCAGTGCAAAGAAAAGGAAGGTTTTCTTCAAACATCTTTGCAAGGGAAAACAACTTCCAAACATGTGAGCTGGGGAAGCATCAACACATGGTGAGCATTACCTTCTGCCTTCCATAGCGTGTAGTGAGAAATTAATTTTGACGATGACCTTTGCTTTTAGCTTTGCTAATGTGTATGGTTGCTGCAGCAACCTTCACTTTAAGTTAACTGTTTCGAGCTTGTACTTCTTATGTGCATTTTATCACGTCTAGTGTGCTTGTCTGTGCTTATTTGCATCCATTAGCATTTGTTGAGCTCCTTAATTGTTTCTACCCAAATTTGACAGAGAAATACAGGGTCACAGAAAATGAAGTCCCTGTTTAAAATTTTATGATAATATTCATCCAGATAGAGAAAAGGCAACCGGTAATTGCTTCAACTAAGGACAAAGGTAAATTGCAAGTGGTCTCCCTGTTAGCCACTGGGAATCCCTCCAGGTGAGAAGCTGCTTGAATATCTGGAACAGGAAAAGCTTCACTTGGAATAACCAGGCACAGAAAAATGGCGCTTGCACAGTGCTATGGCCAGAGCAGCTCATGGAGTCATCAAAAACCTTTGGACACAAACTCTATTGTCTCCCCATCCCCTCATGCCTCAGTTTCCCTCCTGCATCCCAGGGACTGTGCTGGGGCATAGATGCAGACTGCTCAGGGAGGAGAATCAGGAAGATTCAGTAATTAAGGGTCAGCAGAGCCAGAGAGCGGTAGGAATGGTACTGTCCAGTAGAACAAAACCACAGCAATGACATTAATAACCAAAACCATCACGGAAATGATGTCCTCAGACAAAGGTGGCATCATTCTGTTATTTGTCTGCTTAAGCCTGGATTTAATATCTCCACGTCTCCAAGGCACTTGATTTAACGCTGCTTGACCCTCGTATTAAAGCGCTATGGACACCCACCAGGCGACAAACTAAGTGGATGGGTCTTGCAGTCCCACCACGACAGGGATGCGGGGTGAAGATGGAGCGGCATCACCAGGAGCTCAGCCCCCTCCTCGTGCCATGGCTCGGGGTTGTGGGGTGGGGTGACATCCGTGCTTGGGGGCTGCCGCTGGGTGAGCAGAGGTCAGGCCTAGCCAGGCTGTAGGAGGCTCCTGGGACTTCATCCTGTGCACAGCAGGCTTCACCCCAGCACCACCGTAGGTGGCATTTTGAGGTCTGTCCGACCAGTTTTTAATCTAATAGGAGGCTGTAATATTTTTCCCGGGCTCACAAAGAGAAATGCTCGATGAAGAAAAGCTGCAGAAAGCAGATGTTGCTCATCTCCAGCGTATAGGGAAGAAAAACATTTTGCTGGGGAAGGTTAAGTAAAACAGCAAAGGCAAAGAGTGCCGTGAGGGCTGTGACATCCCATTTGCCCAGCACGACCCGTCTGCTCCAGCTGCTCCCCAGTGGCACACGGCTCCCAGCATTTAGAGCGCTGTTTAGCATGGAAATTATATGTATCAGTGCTAAATGCTTTCATATCTGCTTTGCGGCCCATCCGTATTTGCAGGGGGATTATTCTCCCAGGTTCTGCAGATGTCTGCTCCAGCCTTCTCAGCACCATTGGCTGCACAGACAGTTTTGGTCTTTGCAGCTTTACATCAAGAAAGGTCAATGAATGTCCTACTTGTGCCCAGTCCCCCTGATTTGGCTCCCTCACACGCAGAAACACGGCATTTAGGGTGGGAAGGAGCTGGTCCTGCTTTGAGATGGGGAATGTGGCACCAGGGAAGACACTCAAATCCCTTCTCACCTTGTTTCCCTTGGTTGTGGTGTTTTGAAGCAATATAAAGCATTTCCTTCCTTTTGAAGAAAAAAAGTGCCTGTCCAGGGACTTACACTTGAGCCAATCGTATCACAATAACTGTCTCAGGATAACTATAGAAATATCTCCCTGTTTATGTAAAACATCCCTCCCCAGCCTGCTTCCACCACTTGCAGAGGCCCCTGAGATGGCTCCAAGCTAAAGCCGTGCAGCCGTGTGAAGCCTGGCAGCGTAAAGCTCTCCAAGTCCCAGCTCATCTGCCAAAAGATTTCGAGCAAATTTAAAGAGGATGGAGCATGTTTATCCTGGTCCAGCCCCACCAGACATGTGGCCACAGTGCTCTTGTGCTGATGCCAGGAGGTCTGAAGCTCCTGTACCGTCAAACCATTGCTGAAGTGGTATGAAGAAGAGTAAAGCAAAGGTTGTGCTGATATAACTGCCAGTAAGCACGTTCTCATCTCACACCAGGCAAAGCTTTGCACCAGGGCAGCATCTCAGCTTGCTGCTCTGCCTCCAGTGACACTAAGGCTGCTCGAAGGGTGAAACCTCTCTCCTCCTGTGCAACACAAAGGAGCCAGAAGAGATGATGGAAAACTGAACCACAGGCTCATTCCTGTGGTTGGGAGTGATCGTGTTATTTATCTACGGTGTCTCAGGAGGCTGAGTAAGAGCCAAAAGGTGTTAGCTCATATCTTTACTTGTCCTGAGCTTTTACTCAACCACAATTATCTCTGTCATCCCTGATGTCCTCAGTAACTGCATTGCTGCTGCTGCCTCTGGCAGGCTGAAGCCTCTGGCTCCTTGAGGGTGTCCCTGCTGCAGCATTTGCATTTGGTTATCAGGGCTTCATCTCCACATCTAATCAAAATACACTCCCTAGAGCCAGCCAGCCAGCGGCCATTCATCTCCCCCAGGCAGCTCCACCACACTGGTGTAGCAGAAGGAGCCATTTCCCACCTTATTGCCCCAAAGCAAGGGCCTTTGAGGGGATGCTCTGATTTCAAGGTGCTGTTGTGCCAAGGAGGGGTGGCTTGATCCCAGCAGCAGAGCCACTCAGCTTCTTGAGCTATTGAGAGAAACGGCACTGGGGGGACAATTTATCTTAACACAGGGTTGAAATTGGGGTGGTGGAGCTGCTTGCCTTCCCTCCGAGTTGAGGTTGGGTACTAAACATGACTGGGAGCAACAATGGTAGTCTCAAAATGCTTAGATCCTTGCTCACCCCCTACCTCCAGCACTGCTTTTGGTGGCATTGTGTGTTTCTATTTATCATAGTAAGAGTCCAGCCCTTGAAAAAGCCTCAGCAATCCTCCAAGCATTCAAGTTCCATAATCCTCAATGAAAAATAATTATACAGGCTAATTAAAGGTTATGGTAGCAAAGTGTCTTAGTAGTGAATTTTTGGCTTGTTGCTATTCACCATCATTGACAGTCTTCTTGGGTCTTTGGTGCTATTCTGGAGAAGAATAAATAGGAGGCATCCAACCTAGCTTCTGCCATCAGTATTTGATGCATCTGCTCAATGTCATCACTTAAGACTGATCCACGTACAGCTTCTGTGGAGCAGATATATTTATTGAATATATAATGTGGTGGGTTGGGTTTGGGGCACATCTTGTTCTCCTGATCTGACCTGTAGAGTGGTTGGAGTTGTGTTATTATTAGAGGTGTCAGCAAGTGGTTTATTCCCTGGTATTGGCTGGGCTTTGCTGGTGGGTGAGCAGAGACACATAATCCCTTGCTGGCAGAGTTTTCCTAGCAAAGACTTCTAGTTTGGCTACAACTGAACCAAGTAGCTGGCAATAATTTTCCTGCATCCAGTCCAAAGTACAGTTTAACTGCCGTAGCTGCTGCTCACACTGAGATGTGCCAGGACCCTGTTTCCTACCAGAAACCCTCGTCATCTTCCCTCCTCCTCTACAAGAATATCTATGAATACAAGCAAGTTTCTATTGACATCCCTGTTTCCTAGATGATGGAGCACAATCACTTTATCGATACTAGTATACACTATGATTATTTTTTTTTTTTAAACACTACGATTTTCCAAATAGGTGAGTTCACATTTTTTTTTGTTCCCAAACCTGCCTCAGCATCACGGCTGTCCCTCAGTGCTAAGTCTCTGCCAGGACTCATTGCTGCCTCTTTAGCCCCTGCTCAGCTCCTTTATTAGTATTTCTGCCTTGGTGGGAGAGATGCCAACGAGGCTGAAGGGAAAAGAAGCGCTGATGTTGTTAATTTGACCTTTATGAATTTAAATTCCAGTCTCTCCCCAGGGGAGTCAGTGAGTGAATGAAACAGCAGCAGCATGAGAAGGGACTGCTGGAGCAGTGTCAGCGGTTTGGGGAGCTGAGCTGGAGCGGGTGGAAAGTCTCTTGGTCAAACTGTCACCCGCTGTGAAACATCTTTCCAAACCTGTCTGATAAAGTGCCTGCAAAGGAAATGCTCTCATCACTTGCTGCTCTCCTGTGCTTTTCAGCCACAGCCTTTCGCTATATCTGGGCCAACTTGATTTGCTTTATTTAAATGAAAAGCTATGCTCCCTTCCCCTCCTTGAAAAAACCTCCAGTCTAAAAAAAAAAAAAAGACATTTCTATTCAGTTCTGCCTACCTTTGGCGTAATTTTCCTTTGCTTTACATGAACTTACAGTGGTGGGAAACATTTCCTGGGAAGGAATCAGCTGTGTTTCCCTCTCTCCTGAGCACACACACACACATTGAGGATAACAATTTCTTGTGATAACAGTTTAACAGCTTAACGAAGTGAAACGTGCAGCCAGGACCAACCAGTGCTGTTAGCAATTGGATGCCAGCTCCTTGGGCCGATCCACACTTGATTGCTACGAGCGGCAAAACAACCCCATGAGCACTCTGAGCTTGCTCTACTCGAGTGCTTTCTGCTGGGCTGCGTTGGAAAAGCCTCATCTATTCATTAGGAAGAGCCTTTCCCATCTGCTCAGACTGCCCCTTCCTTCCCTGGGGAAGTGCCCCGATGGGACATGGTCCTGCAGCTGCCAGGGGAGGCTTTGCCCGATGGGTGGAATGACCGTGTCCCTCCCTGAGGTGCTCTGTGGCAGGGAAGCAGCTGAGCACAGACCCCGGGGAGCTGAAACCATCAGGAAGACAAATTTGTGGTCTGAGGCAATCTGTAGGCTGGGAGCCCCTGGGACAGGTTCCTATCCACCCTGGACAAGGGATGTGATTTTCACCGCTTTCCTTTTTAAGCTTAATCTGGGAATTTCTTGCCTTCCAGATGTTTTGGGGTGCAGCTGACCCAGCTTCCCTAATGCACCATGTTGACCTCAAGTCCAGTCTGGTATGATTTCTGCCTGGAGGAGAAAATATTCATGGTTACTGAGGAAAGCAGCCTTTCTGACAGGGTGACCAATTGTGAGTGGATTGCTCATGTGTCCCAGCAGTGGCCAGAATCAGGAGATCACTGAGAAATATTTTTGATGCATATCTAAAATATCAGGTTGGACCATCACACCTGTGCAGGGAGCCTGAATGCCGAGGGACATCACCCTGCGTGGGGACGGTGAGCTTAGAGGGAGATGGGTAAATCAGTGCTGATAGGAAGGCAGGACAAGGGAGCTCTGTGAGGCTCAGCTGTTCTGCTCCCTGGGATGAAGGCTTTTCTTGCAGTGCCTGCACCCCATGAGCCTGGTGAGCATTGCCCTGGGTCTGCCACCACCACACTGCTGTGAGCAGAGACCTTTCCAACTCAGTGCATGCACCTCGGAGAGTGCTGGCACCCTGGTGCTATCACTGTCCAGCCATGCATTCTCATTAAAAAGTGTGAGACTAAATAATGAAGGGACTGGTGACCCAAGAGAGGAGGAGAGCCCACACTGGGCTGTTTTTCAGAGCAGGGATGCTGTACACGGGCACGAGGCAGGGCCCCTCCCTGCATCCAACCGATGCCCTGCCGAGCGCGGGGCTCGTGTTATCAGCATGTGCCATTTCCCAAGGGTTATGCAGACATTAACAAATTAAGTCTCATGGCCTCACTGCAATTCTCATTAGCATCATCCTAACAACTTTCCATGTTAAATAGCCTCAAAACAAAGTTTCCAGTTTTGTAAATATCCCTCCCTAGGAATTGCTGCCTGAGTCAGGCAGGGCTTAAATGGACCCCAAGGATGAGGGCTGGCACTGAGCTCCACTTACCAAGCAGCTGACATAAGACAATGAGTTTCATTTCTACTTCTTGTTCTAAGCCCCCTCCTCGAGCTGGAAGTGGCTCTCAGATGCACCAGCCCCATCCCAAATTGAAGAGTTACTCAGGGCTGACAGGTCAGGTGTGTGGAGGCAATGGAGATTTTGTAAATCTGAAGCCTGACATGTTGTGTTCCCCTGTCCCAGAGCGCACTAAATCTTGCTGGGATTCACACTAATAAATCCCTACTGAGCAAAGCCCAATCCTTACAGAAATCAGCACCCACTGCTTGAGGGTGGCGGTGATTGCAGGGCATATCTATCAGCAAAGCCATGGCAGAAATCCTGGGCTCACAGGTTCCAGCAGCGGGTGCCAAAGCCTGGGAGGAGGCTCTGGGGCCTGAGTGCTGCCCATGGCCATCCCACCAGTGGGTCCGTGCATCACAAGAGGGCCCTGCAGTGCTTGGCTGGTGCTTCTGTGGGTCAGAGCCCACACGTTGTGGGTTAGAGCTGGACACATGTTGAACCAGGGGAGGTGAGTAAGAAGAAAACAAATGCTATTTATCACAGCCTGACACGGCCAGGGACAAACACCTTGCTGAGCAGAGTGATGAAACCTTCAGGGAGAAAAGCACATGAGTGATGACCAGGTTTCTCATCTGCACTGTGCCCAGCCTAGAAGCACACAGGTGTTTCTGTTTCTATTTCCACTTCCACCTCCACTGGCAGCCTTGCTCTCCCTTGCCTTTCTGCCTCCATTTCTTGGGCTGGGGATGCTCTGGGGACATTCCTTGCAGGGCCGCGGTAGCCTGGGCTTGGCCAGGCACTGAATCAGCTGGTGGCAAGATGTAATTTTTTAAGGAGGAGTTTTTAATGGTGCTGTTAATGGGAGCCGGGTGGCAGGCAGCCATCCGTCAGCGCCAGGCCTCCGTGGCCATCCGTCACTCTGATGGAGATTGCTGCTCTGAGCAGCAGGGCTGGGGCAAGCCTGGCAATTGCTTCGTGCCTGCTCTGGTCTTCATTCAATCGTTAGAAAACTAACTCTGCAGCATCCCTGAGCTGGAGAGGACTTTCCTCCTTGTCACTGTGAGCTCCTCTCCTCTCCCTCAGCCACCTTTCCTCCCCCAAAACCTGTCACTGAACCAGACCTGTCACTGCTGAGGTGACATCCAAGTCAAATCTTGAATATAGGCTAAAAGCCAGTTTTGGCACAAACACATCTTGCGCCTGGCCTGGTTGGATGCAAGCCCATGTATGGGTGTTGAGTGGGAGTGAGCTGCCCATGACCCTGCTGGCCTCACCCGACTCAGCTGAGCCAGCCCTGGCCATGGCTACGTCCCCAGAAGCTCCTCGTGGCTGGTGGACTCCCAAAGTGCTCAGTGGCAGACATCTAGGAGTGCTGGGGGATGGAGTGTGGCTGAGCCCTGAGCACATGGTAGCCACACTGCACTGGTGATGTGGTCTCTGCAGAAAGTCACAAACTCCAGTTGTCAGCCCTGGGCAGGGGGATGGCAGAGGGGGATGGACATAGGGGACAGGGTCCTGGTGTCCCTGGGCATGGCAGAGAACAGGCAGCTCGGGAGCAGGGGCCAGGGAGATGTTTCTTTGCTCACTTCCCCCTTGAGCCCAGACCAACAGACATTTATTTTCTCTATTTTTAGCTCTCCTGAGCTCTGCATTTTCTACCTGCCTCAACTGTCACCCTGCAAAGAGGCTGCTGCAGCAGGCAGCACGGGGCTGCAACGCAGCCTCAGCACAACCCACCTGCCCGAAAAAGGAGCTGGGCAACTGCAGATCAGCCCAGAGACCCCCCCATACACCTTTGTCCAGCCATCCCTGCCGCTGGGGTCCCCTAGGGGTGGCTGGGGATGCAGGACACTCACCCGTGTGGTTGGTGATGGGCGGCAGGCTCTCGCAGTACTGCTCCTGGATGGAGGCTGCCACTGGGCTATCCCAGAGGAGAAACGCCTGCACAGGGAGAGAGAGGACCACAGGCAGGGTTATATGTGCAATATGCCACTTCCCCAGCCACTAGTCCCTCCTTGGACACAGCAGTGTGTGGGGGGTCAGACCTGAGCTTGTCCATCTCTTGCTAGATGCCACCCCAAAAAGCTGCACGATCGACACATGCCTATCTGCAGGATGGGTTTGCAGGTTTCCCAGCCCAAAGGAGCCAGGCTTATCCAGACCGGAGCTGTAGGACTGAATCTCTCTGCTCTGTTTCCCACCCACCGATCCTCTCCTGCACCAAATATCCCCCTCAGCAAGCCACACTGCAGCCCTGCTCAGCCCCTGCTGGGTCATGGGAGCTTCTGCTATTTAGCAATTAATTCAACAGTTTTAGTTTTAGCATCTTTGCATCCTGAGAGCAGACAGGGGAAACATGATGAGCCTGACACCACGCTCGGATTTTCAATACTTTATTAAAATCACAGCCTTGTAAGCTGTCAGTGGAAAGATGCTAAGACACATCCTTAAGGAGATCCGATCCACAGTCAACCGGGTCTGGCTAACTCTTTTGTCAGGAGAAAATCTCGTCTGCAAATGCTGACATTCCCATTGCATTGGGAAGCATTGCCCAGCACCCATCCCACCCCTTCTCTGGAGCAGCTCCCGGGCAGCTCTGCTGTGAGAGAAACCCATTGCCATAGGGAGTTATTTTGGAAAAGCTACTAGTGAATTTTTGTGCCTTTGCAGGAGTTTGGGGAAACTAAAACCAAGGCAGGCAACTGTAAGTCGCAGACCGCAGAGGGACGGTGCTGTCAGATCCAAAGCTCACCAGGGAGGCAGATGGGGGAAGGAGGAACCTGCTGTTTTATCAAATACGTTGATTTCTACCAGAGCAGCTGCCCACTTTTTCCTCCGGCTCAGAGACTGGTGACATGGTGACATGGGCTGATCCCTTCTGCTCAGGGGACGAACGCCAGTGGTGGATGAGTCTAAAATCCACTTCTCTCACCCCAAGCCTGCCCTGCAAAGACTGACTAAAGCCCTGGAGGAAAGCTCACTGCTAACGGAACGGCAGAGCCATGCCCCAAAATACAAGCACATATAGATCCCTCAGGAAACTCAAACCTGAGCCTTAGAGGCAGGAAAAGCTGCAGCCTCCTCTACTTGCAAGCAAGCTCTTAGCTCCCCAGGGTGGTGGGCTGGTCCCTTAGTGACTGATCTCTCTTCCTGAGTGCCATTTACCTTCAAAACTGCTCTGGGGAGGGAGAAGACAGTCCTCCTCTTGCCCTTTAGCCTTATAAACACTGGCTGCTCTTGCTGGCACACCCAGCAGTCCCCTGCACCGTACCAAAGCATTAGCAGGATTTTTTTCAGACAGGGAGACAAACTCAGCACCCACTTGCTCTTTTCCAAACAACTATTTACTGCCTTGGGAAGCTGGTTTTGACAGCAAGAGAGATGTCAGGCAGACATATAAATGGAGCTGAGAATAGCTTCCTTGTTATGACTGCTCCAGATGGCACAGGGGATCCGGCAGCAAAACCCTGCCCCGAGCACAGGTGCTGCATTGAGCTTCTGTGGTGCTGGTCCTGCAGGAACCGGGCACCTCCTGGGTCTCCTTGCTGAAAGCTGAGACCACTCCAACTCCAGACATGGGGTGAGTGAGGTGGTGCAGGGTCGGCTCCCCTCTGCACTGGTGCCCACAGTTGGTGCCCAGAGGACCTGATGGCTCTTTGCACAGGTAGCTGGGACAGAAGAGTTCCTCTCAAAAGGGGCCGGGATGGTTTGCCTACCTGAACAGGCTCTGAAGTGTTAATTGGACGTGTTTCTCCTAATTGCAGCCTGCTCCAGCCTGGCAGTGCCTGTTCTGCTTCCAGACACAGGGAGAGGTCTTGGCACTGAGCAGAAGCATGGACCAAGCTACAGCTAGAGGGGGTATGGACGGAGTGCAGTCTCTGGCTCTTTGCAGGCTTTGTAACTGAGCTGAAACAGCTACAGAGGGAAGGAGGGAGGGAAGGAAGGAGGGAAGGAAAAGAAAGAAAGAAAGAAAGAAAGAAAGAAAGAAAGAAAGAAAGAAAGAAAGAAAGAAAGAAAAGAAAGAAAGAAAGAAAGAAAGAAAGAAAGAAAGAAAGAAAGAAAGAAAGAAAGAAAGAAAGAAAGAAAGAAAGAAAGAAAGAAAAGAAAGAAAAGAAAGAAAGAAAGAAAAAGAAATGGAAAGAAAGAAAGAAAGGAAAAAAAGGTTCCCCAACACACAACAAACTCTACCAGCTATTTCACCAGGTTCTGAGTCTTGCCTCACTGCAATATGGCCAATGCACTTGACAGGGCAGAGGGTTTTTCCTACTCCTGTCAGCCCCAGCTCGTGGGGGATAATGTGGGGAAGGTGGCAAGTGCAGGTGGATTTGCACAAGCCAAAAGCATCCTGATGCAGTACCCTGACAGTCGGGCTCTCTGTTTTGCTCTTTGCGGGTTACTTTGACCCTTCCCCAGGCTTTGCACAGAGAATAGGTCAAAGCTCCCTCCCCGAAGAGCTTTGCCTGCCAGAGCATCGCTGCCGTAAGATGCCACATGGTGCCCAGCAGGTCCCAGCCTGGCCGGGCTGGAGCCAAGCACACTTCAGCAGCCCTGAAACGACAGTGTGTCATGCTTGGGCCAGAGAGGGGCCGTGTCCCTCTGCCCTGCCAGCCCTTCTCTGACACAGGCCACAGCAAATCATGCTCTGCAGTGAAGAACATCTCCGCCACCTCTCAGACTGACAATCCTGGAGAGCTTCAGCTGAGCATTCAGCTGCATGGGAAAGAAAAGAAATCTGCTTTTCTAGAAGCAGCTGCTTTGCACAGAGGTCCTGGTCAGCCTGCGGAGTTGCTCCCATGGGGATGATGGTTCTGCTGGGAGGCGCACAGGCATCATAAGGCCACGCACTGGCAGCAGCTTCTCCTCCATCACCAGTGGTTCCACTGCTGTTGCCTCAGCATCTGCCCAGCTCCCTTCCAGGCTCTGCTAACCTCTCCGTTTTACACACGGGGAGGCATCACAGCAGACGCCGATGGTGCTGGGTTAACCTCAGACCTCAGGGAGCAGCAAGCTCCCTCCTTTCACCCCCTCGTTTCCTGGAGCGGGATCAGCCATCCTCCACCAGTACTCGCTGCATGGCTCAGACACCAAAACCTGACGCTGCTCAGTGTTTACTGCATCCCACACACAGCAAACACCAGCTGCAGTCAGTGTCCCACCACCCACCAAGTCAAGGCTGTCCCAGAAGGGAAACTGAGGCACTAAGCACAACTTGCCTGAGGTCACTCAGGCTGTGCTACTCTTACCCAGACCCACTAGCTGTGTCCTGGTGGAACGCCCCATGAGGGGCACAGGGTGGCAGGTCCCCTGGGCCAGAACACGCAGCACTGGGCTGAGACAGTGTCAGCTCTTCGGCACGAGGGGGCTGGGATTCTCGCTGCTGGTATGGGTGTGAGCAGCACAATCACACACACACGCACGGCCTCAGTCTCTGTGACCTGCCACTGACCTAGCAGTAAAATTCAATTAATAACAATTAGGAATTAATGTCCCCCTGCAGTGCTTTCCTTCTCCAAAGCAATCCACAGATATTAATTAATATATTCACATCCGAGTCAAACATCAATCCCCCGCGCTGCACTACCCAGAGACAGGCTTGTCCCCCCTTGATATCTTATTGCCTCAAACAAGATTGGATCTGTGTGGCAGGAAGGACTGACAGCTCTGAGCAGCGAGATAGATGGCTCGTAGCCTAATTAGCAATCTAAGACGGGGCTTGGGTTTTCCACTGCTGACAGGGCTCTAATTGGGGAGTGGAGCGATTAGCAGGATAAGCAGTGCGAGCCAGTGGCTTTGCAAAGCTGGAGATGTCAGTGGGTCCAGTGGATGGTGATGGACACTGAGACCTCCTTGGGAGGGGGATCAACACCAGCCACCCCAGAGTCGCCAGTGCTGTAGGGACCTTTCTCACACAACAGTTCTGCTCCCTGGCTCGGCTGTGTCCCCTACGACACTTGGCGTGGAAGAAGAAGACCTCCTGGGACACCCGGGCAGGGGAAGGGCTGAGCACAGTCTCTGCCCTGGACCTTTGCTGAGGCTCCCTGGGGTGTTAGGCTGGGATCAAGCCTGCTCTTGGCCTCAATCCTGCAGAAAAAGGTGTCAGACTTTGGGTGTTAAATACAGTGAATGCTAAAAGAGCTGGATGCCAACCTCAGCTGGCAGAACCACATCAGAGGCATGGAAAGGGAGAGCATGGAGCAGCACCTCTTGCCAACACTGCAGCCATAGGCTGGAGGTGGCCTTGAAAAGCCTGAGAGAAAGAGCTGCCCCCCCTCAAATGTGCTGAAGGTGGCCAGCGTGCCTCCAGCCCCTGCTGCCCAGCCCTCCCTGTCCCCTGCCTTCACTCTGCTGTGGGGGATCCCTTTGTCTTTGTCTCGTCTGGCTTCCAGGAACTGTCTTCTGCAGCCAATGAGCTTCTTCCCACCTCCACCTTGAGAGCTTTCAGTTGGATACAACCCATCCCCAGTCCAAGCCATGAATGAACCCCCCTGGCCCGTGAAGGACCCCCTATACACCCCCTGCCTCAGCCCTGGCACGACATGCTTTGCCACTCCCTCAGCTCAAGGCTTCTCCGAGACCCCCCCGCTTTACGAACAAGCACCCCATTGCTCCTTCACTTCCTTACGTGCAAAGCCACATCAGGAGCCCTGCCAGTGTCAAGGCATCGAGGCAAAGCGCAGGCAGCAGAACGAGGCTCTAAGCAAGAGCCATGGGGGGATTTTCTGCAGCTGATGTTACTCAGGGGGAAAGAGCAGGCAGTGAGAACGCCTCCATCTGGCATTAAAATCTGTGAATTTATGAATTTAGCCATATTAGAGGGCCAGTCCCCATTGTGTGTAGACAGAGGCTTTGGAGAGAGTATTTATTCTGTTTGGAGTCTCTCTCTGAGCATACTGGATGCAGATCCTAACAAAAGAATATCAATCAGGGCTAAGTGAATGCCCTGTAAAACCTGATTTATGAGCAATTAAAGATTTTCCTGGATTAAGCTCTGGTTTCTCTCGCTTGCCATAAATAATTCTGACTTCATTTATCTATCAAAAGAGGAATGGATTTTTGGGGACAGGTGAAAAATGAATAATGGTATTTGGATATTGGAAGCTAAAGGCACAAACAAGCCGGGGAAGGGGACACTGCATGAATCAAAGTGGCTCCCGTGGCATCCGGATTTGCCAGAGGAAAAGCTGCTAAAGAAAAGTTGGAACGACAGACACAAGCATGGGGGAGGGCGGTTTTTCTAAGGTGGTTGTATTAAACTCTCCTGCAGATTGCACATGTGGGACCCGTGTGCATTCACAAATATTTTCATTTTAGGCTTGGAGATTTATTTTCCCCAACTGCCTCCAACATCTTGGCTGCCCCAAGCCTCCACCTTCACCCATCACCTTTTTAGGGTCATACCCTGGGCTGAACATCCACCATTTAATTCACCTGTAATTTGCCTCTAGTTTATCTGCACTCATAACTACGGAAAGCTTGGTCACACCAAAGCTGCACCTGCCATCGCCTTTCCAAGGCGAATAGTACAGGATTTCAGGGTGGAAGAGGGGCTACGATTTGCAGAAGCCCAACGCCCTTTGCTCCACCATCTGAGAGGAGGTGATTGTTTCTGGGTGGGTGGCTCACTGATAAAGCAGGACACTGCAGAGAGGACGGTCTCTTCTATTAGCTCAAAATACAGTTAGAGAAAAAAGGGAAAACAACAGATGGGCCTCTGGGTATGTTATACCATCTTCAGAAAGAGCCACCAGCTCACAAGTGACAGCTCTCAAGCACTGGACAAGGGCTCCTGGGCTCTGTTTGTTGAGGGAACCCCATGATCTGAGCTTTCATTTGGGTCCAAATACAGTTCTCCAAGGCAAAACCGCTGATGCAGCCTCTCTAAGTGCTGCAGACCCAGACCTCAGCTCGAGCTTGTCACTCGCAACAAACTTCTGGGCCAGCCCTGTGCAGGATTTCTGGTGAGCAGGGCAGGGCTGAGCCGGCTGTGCAGGCTATTCTCATTGTATTTCTATATATTCATCCTATGGTGATAGAGCAGCTATTCTGGGAACGGGCTGTGCCATTTCCATTCACTCCTTCGCCGGAGATGCGAAACCACAGGGATGATTTCATACACACTGAATCAACTCCAGCTTTTAAGGAAAGCGAGGACTGGAAGAGAATCCCCAGGGTCAGCGTGTCCTGCTACTGCAGCTCACGTTTTGCACAAGGATTTGAGCAGCGAGGGGGCAGGGGGCTGTATTTTGGCCTTATGGCTGCTCTGGCTGATCAAGGGAGAGGAGGAACTACTCCACCCCCAGCATCAAACACTTGTTTTTTCATACAATGCTTTTGCAAGCAGTTTTATCAGCCCCAGAAATGTCATCAGTTCCTGACAGAGCTGCAGGTGAACTCTTTCTTTTTAACCACGCGATTAGTTGGTTGAAATGACTTGTAGGGTGCCAAAGAGCATTTTGCAGCAGGTTTGGCTGCCTGTCTCCTGGTTTGTTTGTCCGACCCCCTGAGGGATGTCTACCCAGCAAAGCGAGGTGGACCAATTGCTGCTTAACTGGAGCTGTTGGCCAGATGTGGGAAACACCTTAGCTCTGCCAGCCCAGGGATCTGCAGGCTGCAAAATTTGCCCAAGCAGGGGAGATTCACTCCTGCTGAGCTCTCCCTTGGAGCTGGACTCCTGCAAGTCTCTGCGCTCACAGGCTGGATGCAGCTGTGGGTACTCCTGGCTGCTGGGATGTGCTCACTTAAGGCTGGACTTTAGCCCATGCTGTCCCCAGGAGAGCGCTGGGATTGTGCTGGAAAAGGGTTTGAATTTTGAATGTGTATGGCTATAAGGAAAAATAGATAGTTTGACTGCCAAGAGGTGTTTTGTAGATTGGGTGTTTCTTTTGGGAGCTGGCTGGGAGACTTCTCTTCGCTTGGGCTGGTTTTTGTGACCCCCCTCCTGGTCCCAGACACAGCACAAGGGTGGTTTTGCTCTGAAACTCTGGAAGCTTTTTGAGAATTTGGCCCCCTGTCTTCACAAGGAGATCATCCTTGGGGAACACCTAGGGATGGCTAAGGAAACCCCCGAGCCTGAAGAGGTTTAGCAGAGAATGGGACCCGTGTCTCAGCACTTACAGGCTTTTTTTCTGACCACCTTTTGCTCACACAGTAGCAATGGGGAGCTGTCATGCTCGCTTGGCTGTGCCCATCTCTGACCCTGCCCCTATTACACCAGGTCTGAGGCTTTGCCAACGGTGTCCCCACATATTGGCCAAGGGGGGCTGGGGGGAAGAGATCCTGCCCTGTCTCACCTTCATTTCTTACATCAGAACCAAACAAACCCAAGGAATATAGCTGCAAAAGATCTCCTATAAAACAGGATTAGGGGTGTGCAGCTATAGGAGAAAGCAGCTGCTCAGAAGAGGAGCTTTTAAAAGCAACACCAACTTGGCAATGAGGTCGCCTGGTGCATATTAGCTCTTCTCATCGCTTAGGTGAGAACTTTCCTGTCCCAAAGGTGCAGCTGAATACTCCTCCCTGCTCCGACCCCCGGCACTGCACAGGGAGAAACCAGCCCTAAGGGGGAAGGCTGACCCTCGCCGCCTTCTGCCCTTCTATTATAACTCTGCACTCACAGCTGGGCCATTGAGACAGGATTTTGCAGAAACCCCGGCAAATATTTTCTTTGAACCCTCTTTGACACAGAGGTTTAATCAAAAACCTGATCATTTTGTTTAACTGCCTGCATAGGTTTGTTCCAATAATATTCAAGATTTCACTGGAAACCTTTTTGTCTCCTCGTTTCCCAAGGCTTTGGGATTTAAACAGGTTTTGGGCTGGGAGCATTTTCTTTCTTGATGAGCCCTCGGGGAGGAGGAATATTGCTTCTGACAAAGCATTTGCATTTTGTGCAGAGCTGCAAAATTAGCAGTGGCTACAGTTCCACAAGGAGCGATTTAGGGAGGAAAGTCTTGTGCTTTGAAGGTGGGGGGAAAAGGAGAGGTTTCTATAGAAAATCAATTAAGGGGGTACAATGAGGCATTGCGTTTGTGTTGTCCCCGTCCATCACACCCCCAGAGCAGCCTCCCCCTCCTAGCAGCCTAAGGGAAACTGGTGGCAGCTGGTTTCACTGGGAGGTGCAAGGCGGGGAGCTGCTGGGTGCTGGGGAGGACCTGGCTGCAAGTCTCACCCCCTTTAACGATCCTTTCAGTGACTCCAGCCCCCTCCCCGCTAGTTTTTGGGAATCGTGAGCTCTTGCGAAGCCCCTGTGCCTCGACTGGAGGAATTCTCCCGAGGGCCCTTTGTGTAGCTGTTTCTCCTTTTACTTTTCCCTTCCTTCAAAGAAATGGAAAAGTCATTGCAGAGAAAGCGAGCGGTGCAGGGTGCCGAGGGGTGATGGGGAGGAAGGCAGAAGGGCCCTTCTGGGGGAAGAGGACTTAAAAGCATCTTACCTGCAGGAGGAGGAGGAGGGCAGGACGTAGGCTGGGCACCATCCTTAACTCCCACTGTGCCCAGCTCGCCGGGGCATGGCTGGCAGCGGTCCCCACTCCTGCCGGGCTCTCTCTGCCGTCGGGGATAAAATCCTCGGGGCTTCGTGCAAAGGAGAGTGTCCGGGTCCCGGCGGGGCTGCGCGGAGGCGGGCAGAGACCTCTCGCTCTCCCCTTTGTTCAGCGACCGGCTCCTGCCTTTTATAACCTCCCTGGGAGCCGGTCCTCTGGCTTCCCACCTTCCAGCTCCTGGCGATGGGCTACATCCCTCCTCACCAGCCTCCCACTCCCCGCGTCTCTCCCTCCTCCTCTTCCTCCTCCCCTTTTCCTTCCTCCACCTCCCTAGTGCCTTCCAACTCTATTCCC